AATTATGTCTGGATCCGCCCAGCTGCGGGAGTGACAGCTGGCTCTGCCTATCTAGAGGCAGAGCCAGCTGTACCCGCCCCATCCTCCGTCTGTTCCGCCAGTCAGCGCTGGAGGATCGGAGCGGGGAGGGGGAATCCAGCCACTCCCCTGTCACGGCAGTGAGCCGTGACAGGATCGAGAAGTGAGCGAACGCCGGTTTACTGAGCCGACCTGTGACAGTCACATTGTCACAGGTCGGTTAGAACTATGAGGTGAGTGAAAAGCACTCACCTCATAGTTCTCCTTTAAAATTGACTTTTACCCCCTTTCACTAGAAATCAAGTTACTATGCAGCTCTGCATGCTGATATTAAATAATTGTACATTATTTGGTGACACAAAAATGTTTGCTTTTACCTACAATTACTATTTTTCCTCCTTCTGGTTAATGGAGGCACTGGTGATGTAGCCCTGGCCTCACAAAAGACTACATCATCAGTGCCTTCCTGGGAAGTCACATCTGTAAACTGCAAAATTTCACAAGATCTCAAGGGAAAGGCATTTCTTTCCCCACCTATGATGTGCACTGTCACTTCTACCAGGTGGCATATCTAGAATTCCAGGAAGTAAAGGGAAATGGATTCAGCTACCCTTAGTAAAAATGGGAAGGAAAGGGAAAATAAGGTATGCAAAGAATACAAAGTCTGCAATTGTCTACAAGAATCTGTTTGTAGATTGCCATTACAAACATTTATAAAGCTGCCTTTGTTGGAGTTTTTAAGATATGGGTGAATTTCCTCTTTCAGGCCCAAGTTGTCAGGCCTTAGGCTTGGGTTGATGGCATCAGTTTTAGAGAAACAAGAACTGCTTTTTCTTATTATACAAGGGAAGGGTACCACAGAAATACTTTTGAAATAGACATTAGAACACACAGGAACCCAGAAGCAAGACCCTCAGTGTCTGAGTTAAATGAAACGTTAAGCATATTTGCTGCAGTGGACTGCAGTATACCCAATGTTGGAATGTGCCACTATAAGCCATTCTTAAGACATACAAGGAATATAGCACGCAAAATAGGATTATATCCAATTGAGCCTAAAGGGACTTCTTGTCCTCCTGCTGCTCTTCTTATTACATAGATTATTTCCATTCTTATTCAGATCTTTGAAGTGATTGTCGAATGCATAGTAATAGCACTTAAGATCATATAACTTGAAGCCAGGAGAGCACAGATTTTCTGAATTAATTTAATCTGTATGTTGTGTGCATAATTACGCTGTTAATCTTTTACTAGACTTCCTACTTGGCCTAACTTAATGCACACATCACTGAGTTTGTCTACAGGGAGCAAGCCACGTGACAGGTAAGGAGATTTAAGTCACAGCGATCACAAGGCAACTGAAACCCAATAGTTCATGTCATGAACTGAGTATATGAACATTTTATTCACAATGAACTTTTTCTTCGCTGGGCCACTTTCCCCATTTTTCTCATAAGATCACCATATAAAGACAGACTTAATTGTTACTGAAAACAGAAGATCTCTTAAGTTAAAAGATAGTATACTTGACTTTGAAAAGCCTATGAATCTTTGTCAAAACTATATTTTTAATTGATAAAAGTTATAAAACTGATCATCATGTCATCATTATCTCCATCCAAGATAAAAGACAAAATGTTGTCATGTTAATAAAAAATAAATACATTTAGCCGACCTTTCTCCATGCTTCGGCTGTCACTTCGGCCCATATGCCTTTGGCTTGGCTGAGCTGCTTGGCTGCCTTCGGCTGCTGTACGGGCTATTGTGAATAGCCCGTACGACAGCCTTTCGGTTCGACTGAACCGAACGGCAGAGGCGGCCGAAGAGAGCTGAAGGATCAGCCGAAGCTATGGCTGTATCCTTCGGCTCCATAGTGAATAACCCTCTAAATCTTTATAATGAGGGGGATCTATCAAAACTGGAGCAGACAGAATCTGTCCCATGGCAACCAATCGGCATCAACCCTTAACTGAACAAACTAAAAATAAAAGCTGATTGGTTGCCATAGGCAACTGCTCCAGATTCTTCTGCTCCAGTTTTGATACATTTCCCTCAATGTGTTTATTGAGAACTGCAATATCTAGTTATGGGAAAAGTAAAAATATAAGTACACTTTTACATGGATACAATTTAAAAAATGAAATCACCTCTTCAAAAGAACAAGAGAAACACTGAAACCCTAAACACATAAAAGGGTAAGGTTGCTGTATACTAGGGCCCATACAGCCCTGTGTAGGGTTGCCTCAGCCTAGTTGGCAAAAAGCCAAGAGTATGGTTGTTGCAGCCCAGGTGGCAAACAGCAGAAGGCAGGGTGCTGCAGTTTGAGCAGCACACAGCCCCGAGTGTGGTTGTTGCCGCCTACATTTGCATACAGCCCAGAGTGGCTTTGCTACAGTCTAGGGGGCACACAGTCCAGAGTAGGGTTGCAGAAGCCTAGGCACACAGCTCAGAGTAGGGTGACAGCAATCAGGGCAACACACCACCTTGAGCAGGGTTGCTGCAGCCTAGGCAGCAACTAGCCCAGAGTAGAGTTGCTGCAGTATTGGCGGCACACTGTCCAGAGTAGGGTTCCTGCAACCTAGGAGGCACACAGCCCAGAGAGGGCTTGCTTCAGCCTAGGAAGCACACAGCCTAGAGTAGGGTTGCTGCAGCCTAGAGGGCACACAGCCCAGCGTAGGGTTGCTGCAGCCTAGGGGGCATACAGCCCAGAGTAGGGTTGCTGCAGCCTAGGGGGCACACAGCTCAGACTGGGATTGCTGCAGCCTACAGCCCATACATCCTTTTAGGAACCAAGAGCACAATCACGTGCTGTAGCTGCTGTATTTTGGTCAGCTGAGTAAACCAATGTTTGATGGTCATTTGATCACACATGTATTGAAAAAATAAGTATTTTTCATCCTGTCCAATGTTTGTAAAGCCACACTGTTTTTCCTTTGTCCTCATATGCAGATACAGTACTTGTTTTAATTGCCACACAGGCCAAAAATAGAATACGTTTATGAGAAATGGTTGCACAAGTCCTATAGCTCATGCTGTGTGTGGCCAGTATTAATACAACTCATGAAAGGTTACAGAAAATACTGAAATTGAGCCGATATTATGGCAATGTTGCCAAATATACCATCCCAGGGATTAGTAAGGAACACCATTACAAATAACATTCATTCCCAACAGTCAGTATTTAGTTTTAGTTATCCTCACTGATAAGGAAAAATCTGTGTGCTTGGGTGTAAAGTCCACAAAGTCAAATAGACAGAACTAGAAGTGGGATGGCCTCAATGAACCAGTTTAGATTTACTATATAACAAGACTTGTAGAGATAATTGCATAGCACAACTTTACTGGACAGAAATTAAAATATTGTGTACACCCAATCATTAAAATTACATATAAGCTTTACCATATCAATGTAATTTCATCAGTCATTTTTAATATTTGTAAGTATGCAGCTTTAATTCAAATAATACCTGGTGATTCTGCCATGAAAGTCCTTGTTCAGAAGTGTGACAGGGTGAAGGTGCCCATACACTGCACGATTATCGTACGATAATCGTATGCGATCGGTTTTTCGTACGATAATCGAGCAGTGTGAACGGAGACGTGCGACCCTTTCTACTGTACGGTCGCACGTCTTCTGTCGAACCAGCATGTTCGAAAACCAGCCGGGAATCGTACGATTCTCGGCTGGTTAGAACGGTGCTCGGAAGACAAATGCCGAACGGGCCGGTGTGCGCACGCGCACACTGCCCGTTCAGCATTGCGGTCATCGGAAGCCCGCCCCTCAGGGGGGCGGGCTTGCGATGATCGAGAGTGCGATCTGCCTGTCCAAGATAGGCAGATCGTACGTTTTTTAAATCCCTGTACAACCATCGCAAGACTAAAGTCTTGCGATGGTTGTAGAGTGTATGGCCACCTTTATACTGGGAAGCACAATGATACAAAATACCTCTGGGGGACATTGTGTGACAGGATTGTAAGGGGAGGGGGGATGTTGCGTGACAGGATTGTATTGATAAGGGGGGACGCTATCTAACAGGAATGTATGGGGAGGTGGGGATGCTGTATGACAGGATTGTATGGGGAAGGGGGGATGTTTTGTGACAGGAATGTATGGGGAGAGGGGGATGCCCTGTGACAAGAATGTATGGGGAGGCAGGGCTGGCGCTATTGTGAGACTGCATAGGCAGCTGCCTAAGGGCGTGGGGTGCGGATAAATGCACCTTCACCTCTGTAAGCTAAAGTACTTGCATGGGCCCTGCAGAAACTGCAAAAGCGGGCGCCATGTTTTTACTCACTGAGCCGGTGGAGAAACCACAAACATCTCTGTTACTGGCTCAGCCATACAGAACACAGCAGCACTTACCACTTACATTCCTCACATACAGCTGCTGTTCTTGGTGCCTGGAAAGCTGCGAGGGAGCACAGCTGCGGCTTCCCATCTAATCAGGAAGCCGAGCGGGTGGCCACATGACCACTGCACCCCTGCTGGAAGAGGAAAGGGACAGTTGAACTGATGGGAATCCAGGATGGCTCAGGTCTGTGTGTGTATTATATATATTTCTAAATATGTATGTATATATATATATATATATATATATATATATATATGAACTGCCAATGTCCTGAGATAGAAAGCATGCAGATTACTCAGGTTCATCATAAAAATATAAAACATGTAACATATAAAAATGGTATGTGGGTTGAATTGTTATGGTGGGGTGTGGGTGTTATTACCAGCTCTGTACCAGGGCAAAGCACCCTTTATCATGTTACTAATTGTGGATCTCTCAGCTGGTGGCAGCGGTCGGGGAGCTGCTGAGTGTTCTGGTCCGGAGTCAATCATTACGCTGCACACGCTGCTGTAGGTTCACCGTTCGGCCAGTAGGTGGCGGTGCGGCTTCTGAGGCCGCTGTCCATGTAACAATAGAAGGAAGGGGTGGTTACCGTGTGCCGGGGTGGAAGAGGATCGCGGAGCGCACTTTGGGATGATATGGTAATAAGTTCACAGCGAAGGGGCAGACTAGGAAAGGTAAGGCGTGTGTTTTCCTTCTCCTCTCCACCTGTCTATACAACTTACTGGATTCCAGCACCTGTGTGTAGTGTGAGCTGGTGCTGGGACATTGTAACTTTCCCCATACTTCTGGAGGGATGACAGTGTGCAGGTAGAGCCAATTTGGAGTCTTTTGGTTTACGATTCTTATACAGTTCAATCATATTAGTTGCATGGATTGAATAATTATATGTGGCCACCTCCTGGTCCCATTCATATTTGTTGTGAATGCTTGTGTAAACATATTGTGCATTCACAAAATGCATAAAAAGCATGTGTTGCTCTTGTGGTGCAATTACTGTTAATGGCAAGCGTTTTTTGATGCACACAAAAACAGTTAACAAACGCATGAGGCTTCATTCACACATGGCGGTTTTGTTCTGTGTTTTTTTTTTCATGCGAAAAACCACGTGGAACGAAACCGCTCAAACTTTAACATATGCGCTGATTGTACACATTTGCGGCTATACTATAGCCAGAATGTGCGGAATCTACCCATAAAATCGTGCTTGTACTATTTTGTGGGATGCGTGGTTTCTTACCCTGATGACGCCGCAATAGTCTGAACAATGCACATTGCAATGCATTGTTTTTTATGTTTACAGCGGTTCCACGCATATTTAGCCTCGTGTGAATGGAGCCTAAGGCTTGCAGCACCAACAGCTGCATGAGCTGCTTTGTTGTGTGTGGGGCAGCCCATTGAAGTGACTAGGCCGCCCATGCAGATGTGCGACAAATGTGCCAAAACCCTACATGCGTAGTAAGTGTGCATGAGGGCTTAGAAAGGTCTGCCAGCTAGGACTTGAAGTGGCCCAGTAAGGTGGATGTGAGTGCCATATCACAGCTCCCTGTGTGCTGAGACGTGGTGATACTGCTCAAACAAATCAGTCATTGTTAAGTTACAGAAATCATGATGTGTAGAAGTTTCACCTTGTCACTTGTTGCACACTGTCTGTACAGCTACAGCCAGGGGTAGGTTATTTGTACCTTGGGCCCGAGTGAGTGTCAGTTCATGGGTCCCCCACCAATTTAATAGGTTCGTTTGAAATAGGTAATGTGTTTTTTGTTTCTTCTGCATTTCTGAAGGGTTTGGAAAGCAGTCTTGAATATAATCTTATGCCGTGGTATTCTCTTTACAAACAGCATATGTGATGTGAAATATAATATCAAAGTTCTGCTACAGGAAGCATACGTATATGTTGTGTATAACTTTACTGAGACTGCCATTGCTAATCTTCTTCTGAAAAGTCTTGCAAAGTTGAAATTGACTTTCTATAAACTACACTAAAGTAAATATTTTTTTGTGTGTCCCGTTGAACGCAGGGCCCCCAGGCAGCCACCCATTGACTTTACAATAATCCACCACTGGCTAGAACTCTTGCGGTTTGTGCACGGTGAATTTGCCTGCAAGGTATGATCGCCCTTGTGGTTGAAGTTATTTTGCTGGCAAATTGTGCAGTGTTTGTGCTTTTAGATTATTTTTCCCTGTACACCTTTTGTCACATTGTTGCTGAATGTTCTCCTGTAGAACATGTTGTCATGTATAGAAACCATCAGAATTTGTACAACTTATATACCTCTCCCTGGGGTGTCTGTTTAAAAACAACACCTCGTGAAGATTTCCTATTAGGCTTGTCTGAAAGGAAACACATTGCCATGTGTGTCTGGTTAATGTGCTCTCTACTCCCTCTCCAGATATATCATCATACTGTCCCAGAACACCTTTACAGCAACTTGAAGGGCTGGAGAGTGGCTGAGGATCCACTGGCACAAATATTTACATATTTATTGGGAATTTACAAATACAATCCCTCATAAGGCCTCATTCACACTGCCGCGCGTATGTACATATTGTACCATATGCAACATATGCAAATAAATGGCTCCATACACACAGCCGGGTATGGAGCCATATATTTGCGCAGCGTATATATGCGCAAAAAAGAATGGAACAGAGATGCGTCCGGGCAGCGTATCTCTGCGTATTTACGCGCACAGCACATTAAAATTCCATTACGAGTGATGCATTCTGGGATTGCATATAGTGCACGCATATATGCATATTTGGCATAGACGCTCGTATATACGCTCATATATGCTCGTATATACGCGCATTGACGCGTATATACGCAATATACAATTTTGCTTGCGTTGTGTGTGAATGAGGCCTAATGGTGCAGGTGGGATATGTTATATGGTCCCTCATAACAAGGTGTGACTTTATTATGCAGCACTTACGTTGTTCACTGCATGGGGTGGACAAATGAATATTGTATTCAGGAGCCAGCCAGCAGGATTTTTTTAGGAGCCAGCTCCATTGACAACTAGGGAAAACCTCAAAATTAGGTGCCAGATGTAATTTTTAAGGAGCATTGATGACCTGGCTCTTGGGATTTGTCCAGTTGTGGTTTACTGGATCATGTAGATCTCTGTCCAATTTTCAAATAATGACTTTATAAACATTAATAACTATCACATTCTCAAACAATTCATCCCCCACACCGCTACCTCCTCATGTATTACTTGCCCCTCCCTTTTAGATTGTAAGCCCTCACAGACAGGGCCCTCCTTACCATCTTGTATTGTATTGTAACTGTAATGTCTTCCTTATATTGTAAAACGCTGCGCAAACTGTTGGTACTATATAAATCTTGTATAATAATAATAATAACGCATATGCTAGAATTCCTACCCTAGTTTCTAAGGCTAGTTGAAATGGACACGTCCTCTTCACCATTATGCACAAGGTATATGTGCAATGATTAAATGGTCTTCAAATGCCTGCAGAGAAATTGTGATGGTTATTTGTCTTCAATTCTCCAACAATTAACTCCCCAGTTTACTATGTTTATATGTGTTCAGCAATCTAAACCATTGTTTGTTTCTTTTACCTTTTCTTGGATTATATTGAGGAACTTGGTTATTACAGATTAGCATGGTGTTGTAAACTGTCCCTGTGATAAGTATAGTGTATGTTCTGCTACTAAAATCTAAGTATAGTGTTTGTCCTGGTAGTATAATAAAATGACAGCCTGGAAATCAGAGGTATCATCATGTAAACTCCTAATTACATATGAAATCATTCAGGAATCTGACAGGTCCAGCCATTAACCTGCATGCTCTGTTTTTGTTATGGCTGGACTAGAAATCTGGTAGACTGTTCAGTACAATGCAGTGACATAGTTAATAGTGGCATCTCCAGACAATACCCATTATCCATGGGGGTGGGGATAATACAGAGCTTCCCAATGACATTCCTGGCATTCCTGAACTTTGGGCACTTCTGAATTCCCCCCTCTTGTGTCATGAATTAGTTTATCCCTGGGGTGGAGAAAGGGTGTGATCGTCTCCAAAATTAAACCTTTTATTATGTAATGGAGTGTACACACTTGGATTTATGCAGGACACTCCTTTAGCTGTGCTATTATATAGGTGGAGAGATGCTTGGTCTGAGTCACATGTTAATGACTAATCTTAGTTTGTTATGAGTATAAATTGGGGGCCAGAATTCACAATGTCCTCAGATTTTAAAAGAACCCATGTTTTGGGTATAATGGCGATATATTTGAAATATCTTGGTTTGCTACCCTAAAGTTGTAGAACAGGTTGTAAAGCAGAACTGAAGGCTCTGGGCTACTGCTGACAGCCATTCGGGTGACCAGCTATGAAACATTGATTACGGTCTTGGGTGAGTAGCCCCTACTGTTCTATAGACAGCTGGGTATTTTACTGTGTCTAAAATAACTTAAATAGGAACTAAAGTCAGCCTGTACTCAGTTGACATCCCTGAGCTCCTCGCCAGCACCAACATCTTTATCTGGTTCTTCTTCTGGGTTTGACATCTTAGCCAGTGTAGGATGTGCACAGGAGTTAATTCATCCTGGCTCCAAGGCTTGCCCAAAATGTATACTATGCTTTGCATGTAATGTACATTTTTACTTTATGTTTTGCTGGAATTTTGCTAAACTTTAGCAGTATGATCAAATACTTAAAGCAGAACACCAGGCACACATTTTCTTTACCCCTGCACTGCAAGGGTTAAATGTTCATTCTTGTCTGTTATACTCGGCCGATGCTCCGAGCCCACCGGCTGTGACAGTGCTCCCTGTGCTAGACCGCTGCAGTGGAGGGGTAGCGAGGCTCCAGGGACTGGTCTATGAGGAAGGTGGTTTTGAGGATTAGGCGAGTATAACTTTTTAGATTTTTTTTGAGCATAGACAAAAACAAGCACTTAACCCTTGCAGTGTGAAAGTAGCCCCGCTGCAAGGGTTATGTGTTTGTGGAGTACTGCTTTGTAAGGATAGTCTACTTTTCTGACCATGACCATATTTAGGGTGCAGCATGAAACATGGTCACATTCCTTTGCCCTCGTCCCACTTACCTGAATTGCGGGGTTCTTCTCCCCACAGGCTCCTGTTTAGATTTGAATTTGGTGCGGCTGTTTGTGGCTCCATCTGCCTGATCTGTGATATCTGGCAGATGGACTCGCAGATATCAGTGGAGCACAAGTGCGGTGACATCTCGGCACTTGTAGTCCAATGATTACTTCCTCCGGGGCCATTACCCCAAGGTCTGTACTTGGGGTCGGAGGAACAGTCTGCAAGAGCCTGAGCGTTACATCCGTAATCCATTGATTGCCGTTGCAAAGCTTTGCAGGTTCCAATGCAAGAAGTCAATAAATGCGCATTCTTTCTGTCATCAATTTCTGTGCACTTGTTAATATTTAGTAAAACGGACTATGCGTTTTATATTAGGATACGATAGTTAGAGACGTACGGGGATGACATTGCTGACCTCCCTTTTCAAAATGCAAGTTCAGCTCACGTGTGGGATGGGGCCCAAGAGCTCTGACATTCTTCTCCAGATTACATTCTGGGTTAGTGCCTGTGCCTGCGAAAGGCAGACACTGCCAGTCAACTTTCAGAAGGAAGTCAGAAAAGCTGCCTTCGTATGCAACTCATGAAACGCGTTCCTTAAAG